TTCACTTATTTTAATTCTTCTTAATTCTAACCTTTAAAGGCTCTCTCTAAAATTTAATAACCGTAAATTTCTGTATTTCTGCGAGTATTTTCATTTTTTAGATTATCAGTAATAATATTTAATATATTAAAATATGACAATAAAACGCACTAGGAGAGGTGGGTATTGATTCAGAAAAATCTGATGAGAGTTATAAAAGTGCCAAAATCATGTTTATAAAATCCATTAAGTGGATAATAAAATTTGACAGTATTTGAATAAATCAATATAAACCTGCCTGAATTTGAATGGCGTCGCTTGGATGCTGATTCTATTAAAAATTTTATCAATGTGATTTTTTTTGCTATACTGACCAGCTATTCGAATTCCGATGTCAATAAAATATTAAAGTACCACTACTTGTTAGGAAAATAGCTTACGTAAAGCCTCATCGGTATTTTCATTCGATTTGGTTTGCACTTGAACTGCTATAAATGCGTATGAATGGGATGTGATATTAGTGCAAATCAATTAGACTAATTAAAAAGATGGAGAAGAAAGCATTGACTAATTTTCAATTCGATAAAACAGCTTGAAAACCTGAAACGTGATCTCTATGACTTCAACAACAAAAAAAGTCTCCAATATTGCAATTGAGAAGTGTACAAAACGACCCGTAGACACCCTCATAAAGTGACTCACAAAGGCACCAAATCCAAATAGTCCTGCAAGTGAACTTTTATGCGCCTCTAGACAAAGAAACTTTGTAGAAAGCAATTTGGACGCATGATACAATCCTCCTTTCCACGAAGTTCTTCGCCCCATTCGCAACAATTGTCAAATATCCTGCATGTCCTATTTCAATCTCCCATTTCTAATTTCATCAAAGTCATTGGCTCGCGATTGCCTTCGAGAGATTTTAAAATTTTAAAGAGGTAAATTCTAGACGAACTACAAGTGCCGCCTGCTTTGCAATCGTCTTACGAGGAGTTTTGGTCATATAAGAAAAAAGCACGCAAAAGAACATCAGAATTGGCATTGTGTTATAACCTCTGTTCATGCAGACATAAGAACAATTACATAAGGGGAGTGCTAATTACATACCGGATTTGATGCTTGGCACTTCATTGATCTCTGAAAGGGAAAGCAATTATAGGGTTGAAATACTTACTGAAAAGTAGTAACAACAACAAGTGAAATCGAGCAGTTCTGTTTACTGCCTATACATTTCTTCTGATCAACTGGCGATTCCACTAAAAGCGAAGGTGGTTTCTGAGTTATATTAAAGAAGAACAATTCGAGAAGCAAAAAATTCTCAAACTAACCCTTCTCATGTCCGATAATAAACTTTGCAATATCGTCATCGTCATTATCTAACGGAGAACAGAAGTATTAAGTTTATTAGTTGGAAATAAGCTTATAACTCCATGAAATTCGACTTACATACAGCGGGGAGAGTTCCAGGTCTAGAAGAAACATGAATAGTTTCCATAATATCCTCAAAGTACGAAATCATTTGGTACTGCTTAGCATCTGTAGTAGAAAAGCATTAAAAATAAATTTTATCCTGTATTTGGGCCTATCATACTCTTAGCACAATTATAATAGATTAGTTGTTCTCAACTTATTGGCTGAGACCAATTGATAAGTGTATGTTTTGTATGTGGTATTGGTAATTTAAACCAAGCATAAAGATGATAAAGAGTTTAAGAAGTAGGAAAAATGGACCATCGTGAGTCCTGGGGAACAGATCCAAAGCGGGCAATGAAGTAGCAACGTACTTTGTGACTAATAGAGATACACTCTACAGGCGTGTGTCTATTGATCCAACTGGAGCAGTCAAATTCGTAGCATAGAAATCATCGATTAAATAAAATTGATATGACCTTTTAATATAGATAGTAGATGCGCTATATATGAATGAAAAGTATATAAGATAGTCCTGCCTTCATGATCCTGGAGTAGAATGAATTCAAAGTGTTGCCCGACGATCAGGCAATAGGCCATGATCATTGAGAACAAGTAGTGGCTCGCTAATTCATTGGTCCAATCACGTGAATAATCAATGCACTCATCAAACCGAAACCAATATTTGAATGAACAAAGACTCTCTTAATACCCAGGCATTTTACTCCATCTCCTCTTTCTTTCGATCCTTTTCATTTCATATTTCTGCTTTAAAATAACCCAATTTCCGCTGCTTTTCAGTAATAGAAAAAGGGAAATATGGTATAATGAATGGAAAGTAGAGAGAGAAATTTTCATGCCCAAAGCCAATAAATTGAGTATGTTTCCAACACAAAGGTTGGATAATAGGACTGGCAATGAAGTAGCATAAGGACAGGTCTTCGTCACGAAATAGAATATTTGGATGAATGTATGTCCAAATTAAAATGACACGTAGAAGAGAGAAGACCCGATGCCTGGTAAATAGCACAGTGTCGATACTCTCGTGCTCCTTTAATTAATAAACTTTGAAAAAGTAGTATTGATCGCTCTAGTCCATCGTCTACGGACAAGGAGCATTTTAAACATAATGTCTTGATCTCGGGGTGTGCGATAGACTTACCTCCACGTGGTGCACCCTGGGCAACGTATACTCATACGGCAAAAAAGTCTATTAACCGGTAGTTGACTTCTGACTTCAAACTACCATCACCCCACTGTATGTCATATTCGACTACTTTCACAGTACTCACCTCACCTTTTTCTACCTTTGTGTCTGTCTCTTTTACATCTTTGAAACACTCTTCTGTCCCCCCCCCCCGCCCTCTCGACTTTTTTCACTTTGATGTTCCTTCCCCTCTGTGAAGCCTGAAGTCAACTAAAGGGCTAATGATAACCATCAAAGCGCCTGCCATTTGATATAATAAATGCCTTGATCTCAACAAAGGTAATAGACGTTATTTGGGAAATAAAAGGTAAGCATTAACAAATTAAGGTACAGCAAATTACTTGGTATATTACTGCTTTTCTCTGCATTGTGTGAACCAAATGCTTGCACTAATGGGGAAAAATGTTGATAAGATTTCAGAGCAGAAAGAATGAACATATTTTTACTAGCAAAGTGATGTTAGCCATTGCGCAAATGATAGCATTAATTCGTCACTTTTTCTTCAAGCAAACAGACATTTTCATAGCATTCTTCAAACGAGCAGTAATTTGATTATGATTGCTTCACCATAGGCTCCCAACTCAGTCATTAAGTACAATCTTCCCGTATCAATTAAAGCAAGTCGTTGCAACGCGTGGGAGGTGTAGCTTTCAACTGTATTAACGTAAAACTCAGGGTTATACCAGTTGGAGGTTGGTTACTCAATGCCTACGCTTGTTTCAATTCTTAAATCCTCCTTCCCGCTCTCAGTTCTTCACGGTTGTCCAATACGCACGTAATTCCATACCACTTTTGGTCTGGTCGCATTTGGAAAGACTCTTGATTCGATTAAGTGAGAGGATAAATACTTTATATTGGTTGCATCCCTAAAGGGTCCTTGATGAGAGGAGTATTGCTACTTTAGAGGTATTAAGAGGCCACTTTAATAACAACCTCGTGTTGGGCACCGATCCTATCCCTCTTGATTCCACGTCCTTGTACCTCAAATATATCTGTCACTCATGAACACAGTGTACCATTTAGTAGCCCACGCGCCCAGAAGCGGGTGTTAGCTTAAGCCTTCATAGTTGACTAATAATCGGCCTGAAGTTCATAGGTCCTTTGGAGAAGGATAACAGTGCCTATAGAATCATCCCCTCTCTCACATTAATTATATCTCCCGCAAAGCAAAAATGAAATATGAGATTTGTGCGTTGATAAAAAATTAGGGGCGAGGGATAAGAGCAAAGAAAGCAATTGCTTGCAACTTGCATATTGTCTCTGAAATTTATTACAAATTTGGTCATTGTTTCATTTAATAATGGTAGCTATATGTACCTGGAGCCTCTTTTATTCATCATGTAAAATGGCTACTTCTGGATCCTATTAGGTCTCAGTGAGATTAGTTGATAGTCATCTTCCATCGAGATATGGCCTCAAATTCATTATCAATAAAAGGCATCCTTTTTCTTTCCCATTTCTGGTTATTGACTGCCTGTTTATTTAAATCAAAAGCTAACCCAGCCACTCCAAGTTTTGTACGCTGTTCACTCCACCTAAGTATTGCAGTTTCCCGATATCCCACCCCCCCCCCCCCCCCCCCTCCTACCCTATCAAATATTTATGACTAAACTACCAAGGAGAAAAAACAGCTATCAATTACTTATTGCCTAAATATTCCTTGGTCTTAGAGTTATCAAAGCTCTGGGATCCCTCTTTGTCAGGTGTCTGAATCAACCGTAACTACGGTTGTGTTCTCTTCTTGTCATTCCTATTTCGATTTAAATCAACTCCTTCACATGCAATACTTCGTGAGGGAGGGAGGGAGGGAGGGAGGGAGAGAATCAGGACACAGCCACCTCCAATTTCAAAACAAGCCTACCGGGAGTAAATCGGAACGGTTCGATTGGAACACGAAATGCCTCTTCCATTCCCGAAGAAAATTGCAAGTCGGTAGCCTTTGATGCTGAAGACTAAATTTACAAACCTCCATGAGCAAAAATCAACTACAAAAATGGCAAAAGCACGAAATAACAGCAGCGTCCATAGCTACGCAACAGAAGCAGAGGGTTGAAAGTTATAGCGTGCTTAATAAAATCACGACCCGAAATCATCTTTATTGATGCAACAAAAAAATAATTAGACAAGAGGATTGGTACAAAGTGAAAGGTGATCTGAGGCAGAGAGCTCGGATTGATTTTGATACTTCACGATCAGCAGCCTCTGCTTTAACCACTCCCATTTGACACACAAGGATTTCAAGTTTTAGATTACTGTAAAGTTGAGGAATCATCCAATAGCAAATCTTCATGGACACGAAAAAGACCTTCCAGATTAAAGACAAAGTCGGAGAGTAGTGGCGACCAAAGCTATTCAACAGAGCGAAAAGAGCGAGAACCAGGATTCACACCAGGTGCTTAGAGAAAGACTATGTACGAGGCGATACAAAGTAATCAGTGATTTGAGGAAGAGAGAAGAGAGCCCTAGTGCCACCTCTAATGACACAGACACGATCGATGGCGTGTTGGATGAGGCAGCAGGCAAGACTAGATGCAGCATCATGGATTTCGTCAGCAGAGTTGGTGGATCTTTGGAGAATCATCACCAGACCGGGAGATAAGACATTATTTGTGGTGCCACGAGGATTGGTGGAATTGCGAACAATGGTGGCTTCAAGCCACACCTGATTGCTTGTGAGGCAGAGTACACCAACTTCGAATTCATCGGTGAATGTGTAATGGATGGACTGCATAAGACATCCTCTATAAAGGGTAGAATAGATTCAGATTAAGCATAGTTGCCTTTGAGGGCGAAATGAGGACTAACGAATAGGAGGCAGAAAAGGTGCAACAAGTATAAGGCTCTTAAAGAACTTTGAATTAGAGGTATACTAGATTCTAAGGATATCTAATAGAGTAATAGAAGGTGCTTCAATAGAATGTACTGTCATTTACTCTAATTGATTGAAGGTATAAATTATTTTCCTTTAAAAGGATTACTGACCTGCAACAAGTCAGGAATACTATTGAAAGTCAGATTGACTTGCTTTCAAAACTCCCGGCTTTCTGTCCCGATAGAACCCAAAATAAGCGTTAATGGAGAGAAGTTGATAAAATACCGAATGCGCTGAAATACCTTGACAATAATTAAAGAATCTAATAATATAGTTTGCTAAACTGCAACTGATTCAACAAAATAGAAGAGATCATAGCTGACAACAACAAGGCTCAATAAACTGATTATCTTCAATCGCCGGGGTGATTGATCCGTGCTCTAACTACAAATGGCATTTATTCCAACCCAAGCAGGTTAGCAAGGTTTGCTTGACCTATTAAAACTTACCTGGTATAGTCCTCCTTGCTCCGCATATCCACCAAGACCACATCCGTTCTCGATAGCTGTTGAAGTGCATCAGCAGGATCGATAAGCGGCACCAAGCTGGAATTGATTCGTCGATAGTCGATATCACTTCGATTGGAGGCGACACTGGGGGAAGGAGCAGGAGTCTGCTGTTGATCTGGAACATCATTAGTGTGTCCTTCATTAATAGATGAAGAAGTTGGTGCAATTGCGTCCATATTGGTTGGCCAGGGCAAAAGACAGTTCTGTGAGGAAGTAAACTTGAATGAATTCATGGAAAATGGAGGTAGTTCTTTCTGTGCGTTTGACAAAGCGAATAAGTAAAAAAATTGAATTCGAAAAATTGAAACCTCTCGAGTAAAATAATACGTTAATTTGCTTTTCAGGGGCTAAAAAACCATTTCAGAACAAATGTACTCTTAATGGGCAAATATTACAAGGAGGTAGTGCATCGTAAGTGCCAACCTTCCCATAGACTCAAGATTTCAAACGCTATTAAACGTGTGTAGACTAATTGTTAAAATATTTATTTATCAAAACATGCTAAAGTGAGAATTTTCGCTTGGATAAATTTTTGGAATATTACGAAATTTTGTCTAAACCCTCGTTGTCTTTGAGTTCAGGGCATTGTTGATTATTTCGGAGGTTAATCATATTGGAATTTCAATCGCTAGGAAAATTTATATTATAAATAAAAATAAATAGAGAACGAGTAATGAGGCATTTATAGACGAATTTCTGTTTGTCACTTTCATTACAGGAATAATTGAGAGGTTTCAAAGACCATGCTGTTAAATGAAACGAATGATCAACCACCAACCTACGTCAAATATGTGAAACATAACGCTATTTTCCCAACAAAAAAACAAAACTGAAAACAAAGCGAACGGTTTAAAATGGAAAGGGAAGTGTCTTCGAGAATTGCAATTTCCAAGAGAGGAAAAGTGATAACATTTCACCTTCGACACGTTTGATTCGTCCACTAAAATTAAGATGCAACTGTTCTGCTTTGTTGGGGATTGACTGTCTACATTTTAGCATCCATTGTTGATTTCGTTCTTTTTGTTGAGGCAATGGGCTCTATAGACCCATCCATCGTTTTAGAATAAGGCCTCCCATAAACACAAAATATAACAAAGGCAAATTCTAAACGTGTTCGACGAAAAGCAAAAACAATTGATGGGAAGGATAAACAATGATTGGATTATAAGAAATCGATGAAATGAATTTCCAAATCTTCAATCAAGATCTGAACGACTGGGAGGTTACTAAGTTTTGCTGGAAACTACTGACAAACCATCTTCCAATCTACAGTACAGAAAGAGTACGTTTGAAAAGTTATACTACAGCATTCTCAAAAATCATAACAAGAAAGTTTAACTCAAATTAGTATCTTTTCAATCAATTTCAAAAATTAGATGGACAAGTACTTACCAAGCAGTGTCCACGTTGATCCTTCGAACCATTGACACTCATATTCAATTCAGTATAAGTCGACAACATCTTGGTATGAGTCTGATTGAAATGTTGCAGTGATCGAGTAAGATGATTAATCCAGCTATTATCATGACCTTCACCACATTGAAATCTTTCCTCCTGTTGAAGTTGCTGCTGGGAGGTCGCTGTCAAACTAAATGGAGTGGCCGCTGCGAACATCAACGCATCCTCTAAACACTGATCCAAATTGAAGTCAGGAAAGTTGGACAGCAGAGTACAGATGCTCTCCTGGTTCAATTTCTATGATGGTCAAAAATTCGACTTTAAAATCCCCAACTACCAATTACTAATTAAGTAGTAGTGATATTCTTACCAAAAGTCGATACTGCTGATTGACTTGATGAAATATGGCCACATAGACTAGCATGGGGAGAGGAGAAGGAGAAGCCAAAAGACGATCCCAAAGAATCTCCGTTCGATCGAGGGGCATAGAGTGGGCAAATAGGGTGTAAATCCACCCAGCAGTGAGTCCAGTGAGCGGAACACCAAGTCGAGCAAAATGAGCGGCCACAGAAGGCACGTGAAAAGCAAGAAGACGAAGAAGAGTAGAGAAGTAAGCTTGCAAACCAGTTGTAAATCGACGTCTGGTGAAGAAATTTACCAAGCGTGGTGAAGTGAGGAGGTTTGCAAGACAATGAGTAGCAGAAGTTGGATCGAAAAAGAAGAGTCGAGTGAAAACAGCGGCTAGTGAATCCATTCCCTGTAATGATGAAAAGTGATATGCTATTCCAAGATTCCTGAGCATTTCCTCACTCATTCACCAATTTGAGGACAGCAGACAGTTGAGATTAATATTTGGCAAATATGATTACAGTGTGGATTAAAATTAACCTCAATCCCGTTATTAGTTGAGTGCCAAATTTGAATCGCTGACTAATGTCCAATGAAAGAAATATGCAGTGCAAATAGAAAAGCATCCACTTAAGAAGCGTGATGCCTTACAATACTTTTCTTTCCTGATCAATAAAAGCCTTGTATTGTTTGATATGAGCATTCACTACTCTCCAGTCGCTTTCGGATCTGAGTAATGTTGTAAAAGTAGTCATTTCTAGCATCAAACGCCAGAGTTCTTTAAATTCATAATAAATCAATTATTATTTATAGCAGTGTTCACAATAGATTTCCGATTGATTACAGAACCTCTAAGCAAATTATGGAGTATAATTAAAATTGGGAGAACTCTCTTATGTTAGATGCAATCTCATCTATAAAAATTTAATTAGAAAATAATTAATTAGATTTTGAAAGCGAGAGGCCACCTTCAATCACCAAATAGTTTATAATTGGACAAGTAATGTGCATTCCACACGGAAAAATGATAGTTTTATTGAAGCATCAAATCTAATGACTAGGGACTTTCAGAAAAAAATATGAACATCTCTTTGCGACCTAAACAGATACATCATAATTAAGACCTAAAGGACTTAAATTGTCGAATAACCACTTTGGAAGTATGAAAAAATAGTAGTCATTCGAGGGCTTAAACACACCTGAGTGTACTCAAATCGATTCTCGTTGGCAAGGAGAGCAGCCACAAGGACAGATCGAAGTCGATGCTGACCCAATGGGGACCCGATCAGGAGATCATAGGCATGGCAACGCGGTAAGTCCACACTTATCTGACTCATAACCTGGTCCGAGAGGCTAACTTTCGGCTCGGAAAAGTACTTTGGTGATGATGACGGTTGTGTCGGGATTGTTGAAGCACGGGAAAGAGCAGCCTCTATCATTCGTCGATTCATATCGTCACTGTAGCCCGATTCAACTCCTAATAGAGCAGACCAAACCTGTAGATGAGTAAATGATACTAATTAGTAGGCGCAGATAAAATGCCTAAGTATATCTTGAGAATAAGTCATAAACCAACTGAAAATGAGCAATTAGTAAATTTAGAAGGCGAAATTAGAACCTTAGATGATTGGGTCAAAGTGAAATTTGCCAACTAATTTAAAACTCATGCATCAAATTAGCACAAATGAGATATCGCCTTCAGTCATTCAATGGCGAAATCGTTCCCTATTCCCACTTCACCCCCTAGAAAATTGAATAACTACCACTTTGTCACTAAGATTCTCTAAGATTTGAATATTGTAAAAAGCTATTCAAAGAGATATCAGTGAAGAGCAATTTAATTATTTTATAAATAATAATAATTCTGGTCGAAATACACATATATCTGAGCTTCACCAGCCCATAAGTAACATCCTTCAAAATTTTAGAGCGAGAGATTCCAGAAAAGAGAGATAGTAAACTTAAATATTACGTTAAGCAAACAAACTCACTTCAGCCCTGAGAAAAGGTGGTATGTCGAATCTGGCCTCTAACAACAGCCTCGTAGCAGTGGACGGCATTCCACGCAAAAGACGCCGAATCAAACAAACTCGCATCACTTGATACTCCACATCCGCCTGTTTCACCAAGATGGGCTGAAAAGCCATTGCATCACATGTCTGAGCAACAATTAATTCGTGCTTAGGTAAATGAGAAGGTGTCAACTCAAGGTTCCAGCATTTCTCAAGACCTGACAATTTCAAGCTCTCTATAGGTGTATGCTTGTCGAAACAGGAGTAGGTATGTGGAAACAGGACTGGGTAAAGAGACCGCGTCGACATGAGGCTCAATCGCTTGAGAAGGCGTTCTGCAGGAAGGGGCACAATAGTTGGACAGTACTTAAGCTGAGTGGGTGGATTATCCTGTGACCAGACCTCAATATGACCTCCTTGTGAAGGAGACAGAGTCAAGTATGTGGGAAGACGGAGAATAGGTGGACGAAGATAATCGTTGCCGTTCACTCCTTTCAGAAATGCTGCTGCTAAATCTATACCGCCACCAGCTAGCTGCCAGTAGTAATAGCACTCAGCTGGATCATCTCTAGAGCGCAAAAACTTAAGTGCCTTTTCAAAGTCTTCTCCAAATTCCTTTTTACGCTCTAAACTCTATAAAAAGAGTATGATTAGAAGAATCTCGAAACATACCTCATAGGAATTGTCAAAGGAAGCGATCTCCAAATCATTGAATAGCGCCGAAAATCGCTTATCAACTTCACTTAAACATGGCCGCATACGAGCATCAAGAGTTAAACACACTCGAAAAACAGAGTCTAATTTTACCACCTTCTCATTGAGCTGTGGTGGAATGGTTTGATCTGATAGGATGATGTCATCAAAAAACGAGTGAGTTGTATTCAAGGATTTGGAAAGAGATTGGATAGGAACATTGGGACCGAATGATTGTAACGGAAAATGAACAATTTCGGTAAAAATTAAGGCGATAGTCCAGAGATCAGAACGGGAATCGAGGGGGCATGAAGGTTCAGTGATTGAGCTATTTAAAGATTGTTTTGTGCATGACTCTGCATAGAGTAAAGCTTCGGGGGCGGAATATCTTAAATCGATAACAGGAAAGTCCAAATCTAAACCCCATCTGGACGCGTAAAATGTTCCATAGTTTGCGATTTTGACGGTTCCATTACTGTCAATGAGAAGAGACATTGGGTTCAGGTTACCCGAAACGATCCCATTTGATTCCAAATATAAAAGACCCTGTAGACACTCCTGAAATCTCTTAGCAATCCAGTTAAAATCGGATTCCGACTTAACAGGAGGGTTCAATTGGCTGAAATTAGAGCAATAATATTCAGTAACAAGGTAAATCCGTCGATGTTTGTCACATTGGGCATCCAGATAGCGCGCAATATTCGGATGACGAAGACGTCTGAGATCAATTAGTCGGGAGACACAAGAAATTGTGCATGGAATGCCAGTCGATTCATTAGTAGAGTTTGGAATAAATGATCCGCAAGCAATAACGCATGATAGTCCAAGATTTAATCTTGTTTCCTGAAGTTTATAAAAAAAGCAGTCGGCCTCCATTGATGCTTTACAAATTAATCAAAAGAAAATATGGACGGGAAATAGTACGTAATTCATCATAAAGAATAAGCTTCCTAAAATATTAGAAATAACACTTTGAACACTCGGCAACAATATAGTAGAAGATAATGCCACAAAAAGGACGAGGGCATCATAGAACCACAACGGATAATAAAACTTAGTATAATAGACCTCAAAGCAAAAATGAACCATTATTATAGTTATATTAAATTGAATTTAAATAATTATAAAACATTCTAACTTTAATCTTTTGCTTGAAATGAAAATAGATATAAATAGATCATTACTCACTTAAAATTAGGCCTAATTATTTTATTAATATATACTGCAGAGAAAAATATGAAAAAACTTGGAATAAATGAAGAATATCTCGTTTATATACATTCTGATATTAGTTCAAATAGCCTGTGGTTCGACCGCCTACCATAATTCCTGCATTACCTTTGAGAATTATGCTGTTAGGTCGGTTTGGCAGATTGTTGCGCCCAATTACCCAAGTTCCCAAGAGACTTTCCCATGGTGAAGAAAAGAAGTATTTTCCTTTTTCGTTTATTTTTTTAGAGTCTTTTATCGTGATTATACGCATTACGATGAAAAATCGGAGAGAACTTTTCGCTATTGCAGCACAATATTCTGGGCCTGGGTTTGTTACCATTTTATGAATAATTATCATATGCTTTTGGTAAGCCGTGGTTTTTTAAGCTGTGTTATCTGTTCTTTATTGCCTTCAATTATCTTGCTAATATTTTAGAGTGGTGAACCTTATCCTTCACGTGAATCATTCACAGATGAAGAACTCGGTCTTAAGGACTACTAATCAGTCTAAATAGTTTTTGTGTAGTATATTTTGAAAATTCAAATATATTGTAACAGACAATAGGCCTCTTATCACAGCAAATTTTTGCGTGGTGTCCATTTGCGAAAAATTTTATTGTCAAAATTAATTAAGTATAGAGGGGGGGAGGGGTGATTAAGAGATTTAACTGTGCAATGGTTAAGGGGTCAGACGTCCTTCAAGAGGTTTGTCCAGTGAAGCGCTTCGGGGCAGAAACAGACTGAATCCAGGCCTCTGATCACAGGGAATAACGAGATGCGGTTCACATCTCAGGTTTTCTTGATATATTGTCTCTTGAAGTCCATTGGAAGTGCTTGGTTCCATGGAATTTTGGCCCAGGGATTGTCTTTCCATGCCCCAATCGCATTCCCTCAGGGTTGCAATCACTTGCCCTAAGAGGAAAAATTGTTTACTTGTCTGCTTAGTTACGTTCAAGTAGTTTATCAGTAGATCGCTTGCCTAGAATGTTAAATTGGCACCACCTCGGATCGGAGTGGACGGCCAATAGGGAGAGATCTTGATCCGACCTTGTTGGAGTTCCGTTTAAGTAGCCCTGCTTTAACATTTCATCCGATCTCCATAGATTTAGAAGATCGGATTTAGGAACACAAATGGTCGTTTTTGTGTTAAAGGCGGCCATTAGAGATCGAACATGTAATTTTTCAATAGGATTTGAGAGATGAACGAAGGCTGTAAGAAACGATATTAATTTAGTGGTTTTCTAAGGCACATGAAGGATTATATGTAACTCTTACTTTAAATGTTTAAGTTTTAGCCAACTATTTTCTACACAATAACCAATATTTTGAGGATCATGAGATATAAGTAATTGATGAAGAGCGAAAAAACTCGAGTTTCTTGAGACACCAGACCAAAATTTATTCGAACTTGTCCGAATAAAAAAATTTCAAAGTGGGAATTTCACTTCTCACCTATTTGAACTTTCAAAATGTGTGACCTTTACACCTTGTATCGATCTGGATAATAATGCAAGTTCCCGAAAGTTGTAACGGAGGGAGAGAAGCTGCAATAACCTCCCTCCTTCCGACAACTTCCATTTCCATAAATTTAGTTACCAAATGCTCAATAATAAGTAGTACCGATGACCAAAAAATGATTTACTGAAGATAGCAGCTATCAAATCTTAAGTAGGCAATAATATCAGATGTTAGCTTCCAGAAAGTTTTTACTAATTGTTAGTCTAAATCAACCTTGGTGCCTTCATAGGAAGGGAAGTAATTTAGAACAATGAAAGAACTCCCTAGACTACGTTATATACTTACTAGGCTCATGTATCAGGTAAATGGGCTGTTTATTTAATAATAATTACCCATAAATGTTCCAAAATTCGATGTGGAAGCAGAGGGAGAGAGAGGAATAAATGAAGAATATGCCAGCTAAAATACGTACGACTCCAAAGGTGAGAGTGACACAATTTAATCCTTAGAAGTTGACCAAAGAACTCTGAACAGTGGGATTGCGAGATACGAGTTTACGAAAAATTTCATCGAGGGCACCGTGCCCGACCATTAGTGCAATTCATGTCTAATCGACTTCAAACGTAAGTTCTAGCCAAATGAAACACTCTAAAATGTTTTGACCCCTGAAAAGTGCCGATTAAATTAGCTTTAAATTGTAGACAGTATTTGTCATCGAACGAGATTTCGCGCCAAAAATAACAGCCATTGCCAGGAAAAATAGAGGAATAGTTCGTTCCAAAGTATCCCTTTCATCGCTATTTGAAGGTTATAAACTTTACACGAGTCCCAAAGATGGATCAAGGCGAAACGATTGGTAGGAAGGATTTAGAAGTCAGAGCATTTTGTCTAGAACAGTTGAACGAAGAAAAATCCGTCTTAATAGCCGTCTCCAATATCGATGTGGTTAGAGGTTAAGTGTTATAAACTTCGTTCTTTATATCACTTTTCTGAAATTCGCAAAGACTATGCAGAATGGATGAGCATGAGTCAACGCAAAAATCTCAAAAGGGGAGTGGAGATTATGATTTTTTTCAACTTTGCAATAAATAATAAAAACGTACCGATCCACTATCAACATCGAAGATGTCGTTTAGATTTTACAAAAAAACACCTTTGGGATGAGAGCATGAACAGCTGACATCAGTAGTTGAAACGAATAAAAAGCGGTTTAATGTATCCATGTGAAAACGTTCGTATTCAATAGCCAAGAGACGCCACATAACAGTCAAATCAATATTAAAGGAGGGTAATATTTTCCATTCTCATTAATTTTGTTATCAATTTTAAACAATGCGTATTTCATTTGATCATTCAAGTCATTAAAATTTTGAAAATAAAAAGAATATGGAGATAATTGCATAGAGAAACAGCTAGTGACGTATCACCCTCTTGTTCAATATTAGCCACCACACATGGAGAAAAAGTGGATGTGAGTGAGAAAGAGACCTACTGCTCAAATAGTCTTCACTGAAAACGACTTACTATTATTAGTAACTCCATACACCAGCCGATGCCTCCAGATAAGTTCACAGCATGAATTCGTTTGATTATGACAACCCGTCATCTTCCCCCCACTCCTACAATCTGGTGTATCCAACTGAGCAAAAAATATAACCGCTCCGCTCTGGATCCACGAGGAGAGCCAGTGACCCAGGTGCTCTGCGTCGCCATTCTCCTCAAAAACATCGGTAACAAATCGACCCGTCACACGCGACGCCAGTGACCTCGAGGCACCAACAATGCTCACCAGACCATCAGACCTTCCACGTCGCCAATCAAGGGGCAAACGGACGCGTTTCCTCGGATCCTTATCACCCTCCCCCACTATATTATGGAAATCTGAGATCGAAGTTGAACCCAAGCGAGAGCAAGTTAGGAGGTAATCGACCATTCGTCCTCCATGAATTGATTGGATACATCTAGGTGGTGCTTCATCTCCAATTGACGCAGATTCATCATCACTTGATGCTGTTAGGCGTGAGGGAAGACTGGATGATTTCTTTTGAATCTGCTGACGTCTTGCATGGGAGGTTGATGAAGGAGTGGAATGAGGGGGGAGATCGGAGGTGAGCGGAGGATATTTGTGACAGAGAATTGGAAGATAATTGCACAAATCTTCCAGACTGTGACTATCCAAAAGATCACAGCCGCGCTAAAATTGATATTATTCATTAATTAGTTACTGGAATATAATACTGCTAAGTTTCGAAATAATACGTGGTAGTATTAAGCGCTCATTCAAGTTGTGCCATTTGATCTACTTCTACCATGTTAAAATTGTGCAAAATGAATCAACCTGATTTAAACAGCAATTGACAAGCGCTGGAAATCAAATATTGAACAACCCGAATCCAAAATCCAACTTGGTTCGACTTTTACAGTTAGCGGAAGAGTTCGAATTTGTTTGCTCTTTTGTGGACTGTGTAATAGTTTTCCAATGCTAAATACATAACGCAAACTGATGACTTCAGAAGCTTAAAGGGCTTACAGCTTTCCTGATCTATTTTACTCTTACCGGTGGTTAAATAATTTATCTGAATATGAAAAGATAAGCTGTTTCACAAACAGTGAAATAATCATTGAACAACGCAGAATATAAGAGAAAGTGGCAGTAATAAAGTGCCAATTCAGAACAAGTAGATTATAAATAATTAGCAAAAATTATGTTTACAGGGTAGATGGAATAAAGTAGTGGCGTGGGCTGTAGCTGGAAAGCATATGGCAAACAACTGGTTTTTGAGTACTGCTTAACAATGAGCCAATTCCAATTTCAGCTCTGCTTAAATATATAATCTTGAAATAAAATTCTTAATGCGACACAAACTACAGTTATAATAATTAATGGTTAATATGACAAGAGGGATCACTGATTATCCAATAATTTGAACTGACGTAAAACCATCTATAGCCATTATTAGAGTTACATTTCCTCAACTGAAGTCCAAAACTAAAAAAGATCTAAGAGTGTGCTTGCTTTGCCGCAATTCAAATCCAGTTTTCATTCAATAATTAGAACTAACAAATGCAAGGGTAATGGTAGAAAATAGAATAGGGTTCACATTCGAACGCTACGTTCTAGAAGGTTATTTAATACTGTTCTGAAATATTTGTTAAGAGTAAATTTAGAAGAACTTGCCAGTAAGTTAACGACAGTGCTAGTGATAGAGTTCCCCTGAGCTATTTCATGCTCAGACATAAGAAAGGCATCAGAGCTTGAGGGAAGAGAGTAAATGGAAGAAGATTGTGGAATAGAAGATTCGTCTACGCCTGTAGAGGAAGGCAAAAATTGTTCCGAACTCGAAGAAGGCTGATCGACACCGGGGGATTCAGGTTTTATTTGAGGAATATTGCTATGATTATCAGATTGATTTGGCAAGACATCAGCCATAAAAATAGGTGGTTGTTCTAAAATTAGACCCGATGATGAGGGAGATATATGTGAACTTCTAAAACAAATGTCAAAAGTAAACATTATTGGCAATAAAACGGTAAATACGGCAGAGAAATCATAGCGAAAACATACTCTGAAGAAGGGCGATTTACCAAGTTGGGTGAAGAAACGTGAAGACTATTTATAGAATTATGATCGTCAGTTCCATGATCAGAGAGGTTAGTAATAGAACCTGAAGCCACGTCTAATTCTATAAAATCATCATTCAATGACGAAGTCAATTCATTATGAGTAGTGGGTGGTGGGGCTTGGCTGCCGTTTTCACTATTACGGCGCAACAACACAGAGGGGGCAAAGAGAGGATGACCAAAAAGGACGTTGGTATAGTACATTTCAGAAGATGGATGAGTGGAATCTGGTGGAGGAGGTGATGATGACCTCATATTATCAACTGGATCAAGCATTTTAAAAGTTGACACAATAGGAAATCAACTTCACGGAATCTAAAGTATGTGATTAGTGACTGTGAACTCAAATTACTATCCGGTTTCCTTCAAGTAATAGACCGGGTTTGAGACTATTTACAAAACTATAACGCATAGCACATAAGCGAATGACCTACTGGCTATTCGAAGAAAGCACCAGGAGATTAGTGAGTTTAAACACTATTGCCAATCACCACTGACGTACTAAAAAAGTGGTACAATTTTTTTAATAACTATGAATTACCTAAAATAAAAAGGTGTACCTATTCAATAAAAATCAAACTATGTTCTAAGTAAGCTAATAAATTTTAATTAAAACATTAATAATATTTGCAATAATATTTTGTTATGATTTTTAGTTAACCTATTTTTCTATCTGACCTTGGCACACGCTTCAGGCGTCAGTGTCTTAAAATTGACATTTCTATAGTTGTTTTATATCATTAAATTTACACCCATTTATATTGTCTTAACGCCATTTATTGGCTTCTTTGAATGATTTTTATTTCCTTTATACTGAGTAAGACCTATGAATGCCAGGTCATGTTATTTGTTGTTAGTAGTATTAAGTTCCTAATCGTTTCAAATATATTTTGATGATTTCTTTATTCGCTTAAGGTCAAAATGACAGATATCCAAGTACAACTGGATAATATTGTGCCAGCAAATGCAAGTATATGGCAGAGCGTCATCGCACTTGACTCTTCCTATCTTCGCAAAAGGGCTACTACTTCATCTCATTTAAATTTCACGAAATGGAATACTTACTTACGTCGAAGATATCAATTGTCACAAAATTCATCTTCAAAATGGCCAGTCGACCGTTCAGAATATCTGATCATCCGTAAAAATCTTCTCAATCAGAAGTTCGTAAAGATTTTTTTGGTGTTTGTCGACCGTGTCAAGATTTCTACGCTCTAATAGTCTACTTTGAGTTATTTTCATTCCAAGTAAAGTTATTGTTGTTTGGTCACCCGTTTTCATTACAGTCCTCCTTTTCGTTCATTGCCTTGGCTTAAAATTCCTATTTAAATTAGTTGTAAGTTCCTTTCATTATTGAAATTTAATAGAATAGTTACCCTAAAGAATGTAATAGTTAAATTTTCGTTTTGGATGGAAATTTGACTTGTAGTTTAATACTTTGTTGTTGGCATTTTTCGTTAGCTTGTACTTACGTACAAGTTAAGTTATATATTAGGAAATATATAGTGTTTATACTATATTTTTGAATGAATGCTATACATGTCCAACCTAATTATGTCTCAATTTTCTATTTTTACGATTTGAAACATCTTGAAATGGTTCGTTGTAATATCGCTGTATAAACGATGAGCCCTTTTTTTTCTTCTTGATGTTAGTATAAATCCTTCTGCAAATTTTTTCTCATTGAAATCAGTTTGATCTGATTTCACTATGGAGTTGGTTTACGACTTCTTTCAAGTTCATATTTGTTTCCATCTTTCGTATTTTGGCTTCTCCTATTTATCAGACTTGGTAAATGTGGGTTAAATCTATTTGTCTGAAATCGTTTCATTTCTTAACTAACTATTGACGTGATCCTTCATTTTCTTGCAGATACGGACCGGTTTCTTCGCCTGAGTCAAACACGGGTGCAATTACTCTACCAAGTGAACCAACACCATATAACATATTGCTTCTTGACAGACAACGTTATCGTTCGCTTTCTCGCGTTTCTACACTTTCCTCCACCTCTCAGGTATTTGATTTGTCATAGTTTACTCATTTTCGGTTAGGAGTTGTTTCGATTACTCTCCAATCGTGAATGTGTCATAGATCATTGGAACTAGGCTTTCTTATTAAAATTTCAGATGCCAATACCCGATATATCCCTTCCAAAAAGTGAGAATATGGCACCGATTAGCACTGGCTATGCATTTGCGGGCATTGAAACCATCTTTGATCATCACAAAGGTAGGTGCTTTTAATAGATACGTGAATAGTCTGTTCAATTATTTATTAACTACCTTTCTTCATTTGGTTTATTTATTCTTAGACCTTTATTTGTCTCTCTTTTAAAAACTCTGCTCTATATATTTCTGTACGGTTTTTTCGTTTAATTCTAAAATCGTACGTTTATCACTTCTGGTAACATTTTTTACGCAAATAAAGGGCAGCTTCAGGCCTTACTTACTATCTCATAATAACTAACTAGACTCTGTGTAAGTGGTTGTCATAAATCCGTTTTTAACTAGAAAGTTGGCTCAGGAAAACCGTTACTCATTTCGCTAAAAATATGCCTGATCGAAGTGAGCTATATAAGTCTCATATGGCAAATAAGTTTATAAACCGGCAGTTGAATTCTCACTTTAAACTACCATGACCCCACTGTATGTCATTTCCGACCACTCCCACAATACTCACCTTTCTTTTATCTCTACCTTTGTGTCTGTCTCTTACATCGGTGAATCACTCTTCTGTTCCCCCTCTCCACTAAGCACATTCCATCGCCAACCTTTGTGCCATTATAGTTGTCATAAGCAATTTTAGGTAGTTGTGTATTCCACTACATGATTTCATCATCATCATCATCTTCAACTTACATAGGATGCAACATTTTTCAATTTCCTTGTCGTCCTTCAATGGGTTCTCTTTATCATAACCCCGATTCTTCTCGCCCTATATTTATACTCTCTATTCCTCTTTCATTCCACTGTGTTTGTGTTCACCAAATTTGTCCAACTCAATCCTCCATGAATATCATTGTTATTTCTAAGCCTAATTTGGTAAAGCTCTTAAGTTTATTTTAAAATAAATATCAGGGATGAAATTTTTGTGACATAAAATTTGCATTGCAATTTACAACAACTTACTGTAACGATTGCATGCTCCTTACTTTCTGATTTTTTTGACTTAATCTTCCGTAGGTGTGATCTCCATAAAAACGTCAAATATAATTAACTTCAAAGAGTTGTAATCGTTTCAAATTCCCTTTTATTTTTCAGATTCTATCACTCGAATTCGTTTTGCCCATAATGATTCCCATCTACTAGCCATAGCTTCAGCCGATGGAACTGCCTCAATTTGTCATATCGCCAAATCCGATCCATCCGCCATCAAAACCCCCTTCTCACATCGTATCGATTACCTCAAACCACCTCAGGTCCTTCCAACCGCTGCAAAAAATCCAAATCGATATCATCTTCCTGCAGCTATCATGGATGTGGCTTGGTCTGTGGGGAATGACTTTGTAGCCACAGTAAGCTTGGATGCTTCTCTTTGTCTCTGGGATGTCAATCGACAGGGTATTCTGGCTAGACATCTTCGTGATGTTGCTACACCTGGTGGAAGTCTTATGGTCTGCGAATTTCATCCTACAAATAATAACTATTTGATTCTCGGAGATACTATGGGACTGGTACAGGTAGGGAACATGGTTTATTGTTCGACCAATCATATCTTTGTTTTATCCTATTTTTAACCAATGGGAATCTGCTTGAGGTTTTATTGGTTTTTCGGCCCATTCGACTCATTATCCGTTAAATTGTTAAATTGTTTATCTGCACTAACGTGATTCCATATAATTCTGTTAGCGTTTTAGTCCTGTAGCTGATATTCTTGTTGAGGCTTGACTTGAGGTTTGTAGTCTTTTATTTAAATTTAAACTAATAAGCCATTTTGTATCGGCAAAAACGCTTTAATTTTATCATTTGAAATTATAATTCGTCAGCTCACTCTTTATTTTATGGCATTTGTTAATGGCAAATTAATATTTCGTTTAAGAATACTTGAGTTTGTTTTCTCTCCTAGTTCGGTACTCTATTTCGATAGACTTTATAATATGGATTTCATTAATCGCCCATTAAATGCACTTTATTACTATTATTAGTAATCGATAAACAATTAAAAAATTAAGCTTTATTTTTCATGGAGAAGTTTGGTTACGTTGTAGTTAGTATATATATATATATATATATAGAAATAAAGCGAGCAAGTCCGAATAATTTTCCCTAACTTTAAGAGTGGAAGCTGATGTGGACCAGTATCGTATTAGACTATAGCTTAGGAATGAGAAGAGTTAAAGTCGTGGGAACAACAGCAGGGTTACAGTCTACCCTTTTTTACCTGTAATTAGTGTCGTGTGTAAAAGCCAAAATAAAGCTTTACTGGACCAACGCGGAGCACGCTCACCACGTAGATTGGGTCAATGGGGTCTGGCCACTGGCTATATCAGACCACAGTCATTGGTCGCCACTACTTCTGGGCGTGGGTGGCCAGATATAGGGCAAATAGCCACCTTCTCTCACTTCTTCTGCTTCTCCCTTACCTCCATCTTGTGTGCATACAATAGACTTTATGAGCTTTTGTGTCGTTTGCCTTATCAATACGATACGCCTCAATAAAGATATATATATATTTAGTTCATTCTACCTAGAGTAAAGGGTGATGGAGACTGTTTTGTCTCTTTTGAATCACTCTGGAGGTTTCTAGGCCGGGTGAGCCTATGAATCAAAGTGCGCAGGTACCATAGAGAGTATATATTCATTTCGGTTTCCGGTTTCTTCATGTTATTGCTCTTCCAAGTCGTTATGGCTCACAATACGTCATGTTCCATTATTGACATGTCCATGATGATCAAGAATTATTCTATCAAGCACTTGGTTACAATGCCCGTATTTATTCATCTGTTATAACGGTCAGGGGTAGACCTTCATATAGCTACTAATTTTTGTGCCACATATTTATTTTTATCAAATAGCAGGCTTTATGATAGTTATCATTCGCCCTTTAATTGATTTCAGGCTTCGCCGAGGGAGAGGAAGATCAAATCGAAAAAGACGAAAGGGGGGTGAACAGAAGAGTGCTTTAAAAATATAAGAGACAGGCACACAGGTAGATGAAAGGTGAGGTAAATACTGTGAAAGTAGTCGAATATGACATACAGTGGGGTGATGGTAGTTTGAAGTCAGAAGTCAACTACCGGTTAATAGACTTTTTTGCCGTATGAGTATACGTTGCCCAGGGTGCACCACGTGGAGGTAAGTCTAT